TTTTTGTCCATATACGAAATCTAACTTACGTCTTTCACCTTCAATTTCCGTTTCTTCATTCATAATTATTTAAACTATACTATTTTTCTTATTTTTTTGGCAACGTTTGTATTGACTCTCTCTCTCTGGCTTTGTTATTGGCAGCAGTCTTCGATGACGCTATATACGCAGCCAAATACTAATCATTAGTAATTTCACAAAACAGTCAAAAGCTCTTCGAGAAAGCTTTTAGTTCCATCTAGATAAAGCTGCAATTAGCATGTTTATTTTTCTGTTATCTTAGACTATAAGTATATATTTTTATATTTAGAATCAGAATATGAATATAATTATTGATTGAACGTTTTCCATTGATACAAAGAAAGAAAATCCGGCACAGCTGACTGACTGACTATGCCCAAAACAAAGCTTTACGAGCAACTCTACTGTTCAAAATATAAATAAATAGTATTTATTGCTCAACATAAATTTAGATAGGTAAAAAATACTTGTATGAGTAAAAGTTAATTAAGGTAATTAATAAAATAATTAAGTATTCCTTATAGAGCTTAATTCCTGAGTCAAAGGCAACAATGGCTTAACGTCTTGGATTATATTTTGCATATTGCCTGTGTAGATGGAGTAAATAGGGAAGCAATACACCCGATTCTCGATGCATTTCAGCAATCAGTGCATCATAGACTGCGCGTCGAACATACATTTCCTCGTCATGGCGAGTTGAGTTAAGTTTGCCCTTAATAGGTCCAATCATCTCATACCTTGATATCCAACGTTCTTCCTTAAGAGTATTTCTCACCTCACGCATCAAGGCCTGTGCATTGATCGTTTGGAAGAAGTGAAACGGATTTGCATTCACGGGCTTTGTTTTCTGTGCGCCCACGCAGTAAAATTTAAAGCGAACAGGCTCATTTTCTCTTCTGAAGGATTCCATGCCAAACCATTCCAATGGATACGTGCCATCGGCTTCGTCTTTGGGCTTATGATTTCCCATTAGGAGTACACTAAAATAGTTTTTGAACTCGACTTCCAAATCTTTTAATGTCCTTTCAGGCTTTTCCTGATTGGAGTCTTCCGTCTCGTCTCCTATTGCTAATATCGTAGTGCTTACTGCTGCAAATATGTTAGATGTTAGCTTATATTTTGAGGGACATGAATTAACTCTTACTTTTATCCATATCTGTTTTATCGTTAGCCATAATATTATATTTATTATTTTATTTTGCTTTACTTCTGCAGAGTATATCTTCTAGGTAAACAGAGAGACTGACAACAGGTCTCTCTCGTTGCTGCTGTATTTATAAACTGACGCTTAACATATGATTTCATAATAAAAACTTTGAAAGCTCAGCAAGAGCTTTTGGTAAAGTTATTCAAAACATTGAAGACTTGTTATAACAGACTTACCTACATATGTAGATATGTATGTACATATATACTTAAGACGTACTATGCCCAAAAAAGTTAATCAAATTGTGACTCATGCAAATCAATTTAATATCAAGTATTTTTATATAATATATATCTGATATATCTTTAAATACTGTTAAATGGAAAACAACTTCAATCAAACATTTATACAGAAAAGTTTACGGTTGTTGAAATCTCTTAGAATGTAACCTATCGTTTACATATTGTTTGTGTAAATAGAGCAGAAACTGAAAAACTTTCAACGTTTGTTCACGGTGAATATCAACGGCCAGATTGTGAACGTAGTAATCATCTACAAAACAAGGGCGCGAACGAAAAACTTTCATTTTCTTGGGGAATTCCAATATATCCTTTGATATCCACTTTTGGTCTTTCAATCGCTTTTTCAATTCGTGCATTACTGCGGCGGCATAAAGAGTCTGACCGAATCCGCCATACATATAGTCTATGTAGATACCCGGATAGGAGCAAGGCAAACACTGAAAGTGGTAGCGTCTGGGTTGATTATCTTCTTCAATTTTGTTCATTTCAAACACGTCTATCATAAAATCATCATTGGGCACACAGGTTCGACTTCCCAATAAGAGTTGACCAAAATGCTTTTTACAGTCATCAAAGAAGATTTTTTTATTAAATATGGTTGCAGGTTTCTTTGGCTTGGAGTATTTTCTCCCATCTCCGATGGACAATACTTTAACTTCTGACTTTAATAAAGCTACAGCTGAAAATAGTCAAGTTTAATACAACAAACTTTAAAATCAATTAACTTACTTGTTTCTGCTTTTTTATTATTATCATTATTCATAATGGATTCAGATTCAGTCTCTATCATTCTTCGGTAATTTATATCAGAGCTGACTAGCAATTTGGACAGTTCTGTCGCCGGTATAAATAACAAACTGAGTGAGTGAAATACAAACATTTCACAACAAATATCAACAAATATATTCTCAATTGGAGCTTTTTAACATGGTTGCGTTATGAAATGCCGAAACAAAGCAGCACGAAGCACAACTTGTGACGTCACAATGTAAATTTGATTATAGTTTCTATATTATGTAGATATATGTAGATTTTAAATATATAAGTAGATTTTAAATACTTTTCGAATTTGACATAAGACTTTTCGATCAACTATACAGCTTTTAAGAATTTAAATTTTCTCAAGAAATATAATAAGAACATAATAATATAAGAATAAAAATAAAACAAGATAAATAGATCTTAAGCTTTGGCTGAAAGGCAGTTCAAAACGTGTTCCCTACTATATGAAAAATAATGTTGTTTTTTTTTTTATTTATTTTTTTATTTAAAAAATTATTAGTCAATTATTTTTCATATTAATAATATTTTACAAGTTTTAAATTGACTCTTTCTTTCAGAAAATATTGTTTTAATTTTTTTCAGTTACAGCTTTCAGTTAATCTATTGATTTTAACTAATTTATTATCTATGCTGCGTATTATGTGCATGTTCTCTGTGCAAGTACATCAAGTACGGAAGCACCTTCGCTCTTTGAATATTCAAGGCTTTGAAAACAAAACCTAAAATATAAAACTCCTCAGGCTTATAGGCATTACGGTATACGTCTCCTTTGAGTGGACCTACTATAGCACTCTTGGATATCCAATTTTCCTCCTTCAGGAACCGTCGCACGTCACGTAAGACGGCATTTGCATTAATTGTCTGATAGAAGTATTTTAGATACGTATGCCTGGGTTTTGTTTTCTGTGCGGGGTAACAGTAAAATTGATAGCGAGTGGGCTGATTCTCGAAGGCGAAGGTTACCATTCCGAACCATTCAATGGGACACAGACCACTGACATCGTCGACTGGCGTTGGATTTCCCATCAAAACTAAACTCAAATAATTTGTGCAGTCCGCGCTGAAACTATTCTCGATCTTAACTGGTTTAGCTTTTCTGCGACTTACGACTTCCTTCGGATCTCCAATGGCTAATACCTTTGCTGTAGAGGTCAGTGTTGTTAGAGCTTTACATGGGTAACAATTGGAATTTTCATTATTTTATTATTGTCTTGCAATGTCCGAAATGCAACTTACTTGGGTCATCTTCTGTCTCCTTTTCGTTGTACATAATTATTTTGTTATATATATTTTTTTTGTGGGTTTGGTTTGAGTTCCTTGACTTTATTATTAGCAAACGTCTTCAATGCACTGCACAATGATAATCATTAGTAATTTCACAAATCTGGCAAAAGGCATTAAAGAAAGCTTTTAGTTGCAGTTAAAAAACAGCTGCAGTTTGAATGAAAAGCTTTTGAATGATTTTATATGTATATTGTAATATTTATAATCAGAATATCTGGAATATCAATAAATAGGCTTAAAATGTTAATGTAAAATACAAAATTTTGCAATATTTATATTATGATTAACTTTTTTAGTTGTTAATAAAATGAAAATACAATTGCATCACAGCTGACTAACTCGTTTGAAGCAACTAGCAAATTATACTATATTGGTGATACGAGTGGCTACGTTACTAAGTTTTGCTTGAAATTATTACCTCAAAGTTATTATTCAAAGTGTTTCCTTTAAGTATTTCTTCAAAGCATTTTTTAAAAAGTATTTTTCTTCCAAGTATTTCCTCTAAGTTTTTCCTTTTAACTGAGCTGAACGATCATCAAATATTTACACACACTACTTCACTTCACTTTACTAAGCACAGAGATCGTTGTAATCGAGATCTATGTGACCAATGGGAGCACTCGCTGCTGCTGCAAGCATTCTAGCTTCGTTTTACTTGAATATAAATACGAAACGAATACCCTTGCATACATAACTTCGGTATCTCTTCTTTTCCCTTACTCTTGATATGCAGACAGCCAAAGAGCGGAGCCCAACAGCTGACAACACTGCACCCGACTAGAGCTTTATGGCGTCTTCTTATTGAACATACATTTAATGAAAAGTATAACTTAAAAAACTTTTTTTTATTATTTTATTTATCTTACCTAACTAATTTAATAAAACAACACCAAAAAACATAAATTAAAGATTTCTAAGAATTGTGCTTATCGTTTACATATTCCTTGTGTAAATATAGTATAAACTGAAGAGCTCTAAGTCTTTGTTCATGGAGAATGTCGTGAACTATATGCTGCACGTAATACTCGTCTTCATGGCAATAGTATGAACGACCAATGATTTTTCTTGGCATTTCCAGTGTATTCTTCGATATCCAATTGTGGGTTTTCAGTCGCCTTTTCTGTTCGTGCATTACTGCACTGGCATACAGTGTGTGGCCAAATATGCCATACTTCATAGAGCTGCCCGGACAAGCGCAGTGATGACACTCAAAGTGATATCGTCTGGGTTGATTATCATTCTCGATTGTGTCCATTTTAAACAAATCCATCATAAAAATATTATTTGATACAAATGGAGTTCTATTCCCCAATAAGAGTTGGCCAAAATGCCCCCTACAGGCATCTCCAAAGATTTGCTTATCAAATTTGAGAGCTGGCTTCTTTGGCTTCACGTATTCTCTCCGATTTCCGATGGACAATACTTTGATTTCTGACACTGATAATGACATAGCTGAAAATAATCAAAATTTATTATTTTCAAATGGCAGAAACGAAATTTTAACTTACTTGTTTCTGCCTTATCAGTATTGTTATCCGCAGCTGGTTCTCTTGTTCTTGCAGTCTCTATCATTTCATTGGTGACTAACTCTACTCGGTTGAAATGCAATTAGAAAATGCCAAAAGCCCTCCGCTGCGCCGACAGAACTACTAAACTGAATGAATGTAATACAAAGATTTCACAATGAATGTGTTGAAAGTTTACATAAAGCTTTTTAGTAAAGTTACATTATGAGTAAGGTTCCATTATGAAAGGCCTGAACAAGACAGCGCGATTCACAGCCTGTGACGTCCCAATGTAAGCTTTAATATTGTTTTGAACATACATACATATATGCTTTAAATACTATTATTAGGATATATGTGTGTTTAATGTTAGTCTTAAGTCGTTTAAAGTTGTCTTATACTGCATGATTCATTAAAACCCAATAAATCAGAAATATAAAAATTTTGACCTGCTTTTGCTCTATAAGATCTATCAAACAATATTAATAGTCACCATACATATACATATTAAAGTTCCCAAATTATTAGCAATGCAATAGTGAGTGGCTCGTAGCTCATTTATTTATTTTTTACATGCTGCCTGTGTAAATAGAGCACATAGGGAAATATGGCCTGCCATCGTCTACGACTTTCGGCTTGATATGCCCTATAAACTGCGTTCCGAATATAATTTTCCTCGGGACTATAGCCCCAACCATCTAAATTGGCTTTGAGAGGTCCAGTTAGCACATATTTTGACAGCCAATGTTCATTCTTAAGGATTGCTCTAACCTCCCGCAATAAGGCATATGCATTAATTGTCTGATTGAAGAAATATAAATTGGTATTCGTGGGATGAGTTTTCTTTGCGGGGAAACAGTAAAATTTGTAAAGATTGGGTTGATTTTCCCTCCTAATGGTTTCCATGCCAAACCATTCAATTGGATACTCGCCATCTGCCATGTCTTTAGGTATTGGATTTATCATTAAGAGTTGCCTTAAATAATCTTTATAGTCGGCCTTCAAATTTCGTATGTTATCTTTCATTTTAGCCCCTTCATGTTCTAAGGCCTCCGACTTATCTCCTATAGCTAATATCGTTGAATTCATTGCTGTAAATATGTAAGATGTTAGTTAATTATATTTAGAGAAACATTAATTAATTCTTACTTGCATCCATTTGCACTTTTAATTTAAATATAATAAATAATATATATATTTTTAATCCTAAGACTATATTTGTTGAAAATGAACACAGAGATTGACAACAGGTCTGGCTGCTTTGTGCTGTATTTATATACTAAATTTGCCGCAGAATATATGATTTCATAAGAAAGCTTAGAAAGCTCAATTACAGCTTTTGAAAGAGATACCTTTGTACATATGTATATACAAGCATACCATACATATTTACATTCTAATATCTACTCTGAGATTTCTTAAATTAAGTTCAAGTTCAACATTTTTTACTTTAAGCCCAGGAAATAAATTTAATACTAAACTGTTCATAAATATCTACGAATAAAATATCATATTGTATGCAAAATTCTTAATCTTATAGGACAGTTTATTTCACTATTTTAATTGTCTTGAAAAACACCTATAATTTTATTTTTCGTTCAAATATATTTTTTGTGTAAATAAAGCAAAAACTTCATAACTTTGAAGCTTTGTTCTCGACGGATATCATAACATAAATACGGAATGTCAAGCTCGGATGGGTGACAATAGTATAACCTGGGTTGATTATCTTATTCAATAGTTGTCACTTCAAACAAACCCATTTTAAAGTTTGTATTTCCCAATAAGAGTTGACCAAAATACTTTCTACAGTCATCCAAATAAAACTTGTTTATCGAATTCTAAAGGCTTCTTTGGCTTAAAGTATTCTACCTGATTCCCGATGGATAACACTTTCATTTCTGATGTTAACAAAGCTACAGCTGAAGCTAAATTAACTTTAATATGAGGCAAATAAATAAAAAGAAAAATTTTAGCTTACTCATTATTGTTGTGCATAATTGATTCAGTTTTAGTTTCATCCATTATCTTGGCATTATGCATCGCAGTCAACTAACAATTTTCTGTCGTTTCCGTTGCATTTATATGCTGTATTTTAAGGCATAATAAAAGTATAGAAAGCCCAACAAAATCTTTGATACAAGTGTTAAAGACTCCTTGTGTCGGAGTTAGCAATCTTTATCATAGGAAATTGCATCAATTTGGGAATTCACACGATAAGGTCTATCATCTAATCAAGTCAACTAAGAATTGTTAGTTGGAAGCCTAATGAAAATATTAATATTATCATAATCATAAAGTTTTTAGTGTTGTGAGTCATAAAAATCAATTTAATAACAATTTCTTTTTTATATAATATATCTTACAGAGAGCATATACTATTGGATGGAAATGCTTATATAGAAAATTATTTTACGGTTCTTAAAATCTATTCTTAATCCTTTCACGTACATATTCTTGGTGTAAATACAGCAAAAACTTAAATATTTTGAATTTCTGTTCTTGGATGATGCCAACAATCATATTGTGAATGTAGTATTCGTCTGCAAAGCGATAGGTCGACCGAGTAAGATCCGTTCTCCTTGGCAATACCAATGTATTCTTCGATATCCACTTTTTGTCTTTCAGGCGGCTTCTCAATTCGTGCATTACTTCGTCGGCATACAGGGTCTGGCCGAATACGCCATGCTCCACATACTTACCCGGGGAACCACCAATATAACACTTAAACTGATATCGTCTGGGTTGATTGTCTTCCTCAATTTTTTTCATTTCGAACAAATCCATTACAAACCAATTATTGGACGCAAGGGGCGTTTTACTACCCAGTAAGAGTTGACCAAAATGCTTCCTACATTCATCATAAAAGATTTGTTTATCAAATTCAGTTTCCATCGGCTTTTCTGGCTTCAAGTATTCTTCCTGACTTCCAATGGACAACACTTTGACTTTTGACGTCACTAAAGCTACAGCTAAAAGAAATCTAACTTTAATTTTATAAAATAGGAATATAGAAACTGTAACTTACTTGTTTCTGTCTTATCAGTATTAGTATCCGTTATTTGTTCTTCATCAGTCTTCATCATTTCTTCGATATTATTTATCACAGTTGGCTAGAAATGCACTACGACAATTCAATATCATTCTCGTTCGCCAGTATAAATACATTGAATGAATGAAATACAAACATTTCACCAAATGTGTTGAAAGCTCAAACGAAGCTTTTTAGCATGGTTGCATTACGAAGTGCCGAAACGAAAAAGCGCCGATCAGAAGCTATGACGTCACAATGTATGAATATAATATATATTACATGTGTTTAAGAAATGATATTTATTTACAATAGCTCAAATATAATAAGTTTTATATAGTATCAAGTTTTGTACAGTACTTGGTACTTTTTTAAAATAATTATTATTTATTTTACTTTACATAGTTCGAGCATAATATGAGTATACACATCTGCAATGTATTTATTTATGCCTATTTCTATGTAAGAATTGCAGGAACGTAAAGAGTTTCGGTGCTTCTGTGTTCAGAGCATCCGAAACAACTTGTTGAATGAATTGATTGGAGCTGTGGTATAGAATACGATCGAATTTAGTTCTGAGAGGTGTTTCAATGACGTTTACTGATATCCAATTCTCACCATTTAGACGATTCCTTACAACCTCCATGATTGCCTTTCCATCGAATACCGGCTCAGAGAAAATATCACCCGGCTTGTAAATATTCCCATGTACCAGATAAAAATGATAACGTCTGGGCTGTTTATCTTTTTTAATACTAGTTACTCCAAATCTATCCACTCTATTCCAATCTTCGACCACTTCGATGGGTATTCGGCTCCCAGTTAAGAGCTGGCATAAATGTTTTCTGAAACTCTTTTGTAAAATATGCACGTTACGGTGCTCAACAGATTTTTCGCTCGCTGTGCTTTCGTCATCTCCAATTGATAATACTTTTTGAGTGTATGTCATTTTAGGTATGGCTGTAAATGTGCATCATAAAAACCCGATATCTTCTATCTTCTAAAATGCTCGTATTACCTGGCTTTTCTTCAATTTCTGTTTTATTGATTTCCATGTTTACTTTTCGCTTACGTTTACACATGTGCATCTCACTTTGAAATCGTATTGCTATTTATTCGTACATGTATGTATGTAAGCTACTCTCTTAAAGCTTTTTGTATTATTATTATTATTTTTTATTTATTTATTTTTTTTTTCTAGTTAGTTGTTTACACCCAACAGCTGTTCGCTTGAGCTTACTGTAATGTTTTCGTGTAGATATATTACGTACTCAGAAATGAGAGATCTAATCATACATATATACTATCACCAAAGATATGTATTTCTGTAAGTTTGTTGTTTTGTTTATATTAATCAAAATAAAAAAAAATACATAAAGTACAGCTATTATTTAATTTATTTACGATACTTCTTATTTTGTACATGTTCTCTGTGACAGTATAGCAGGTACGGTAATGCCTTCCTTCTCTCAATATCGAAGGCCTTAGAAATAAAAGTTTCAATATGAGTTTGCTCAGAGCTAAAGGCACTAGGAGTTAGTTTAGCCTTCAGTGGCCCCATTAAAATATATTTAGACATCCAACGTTCCTCCTTCAAAAATCGCCTAACATCACGCAAAATGGCATTTGCATTAATTGTCTGGTAGAAGTAATATACATTAACGTGCTTAGGTTGGGTTCTCTGTGCGGGAAAACAGTAAAACTTATAACAAGTAGGCTGATTCGCTTTGCTGATAACTTCCATTCCAAACCATTCAATGGGACACAAGCCGCTGACATCGTCGACTGGCGTTGGATTTCCCATCAGAACTAAACTCAAATAATTGGTGCATTCCTCATTGAATTGTTTTACCTTGTTGGAATTATTATTATTATTTTTTGTATGTTCCGGGCTTGGGCAGTTTATGACCTCTGTCGGATTTCCTATGGCCAAAACTTTTGTAGTCGATGTCTGTGTCGCCAGAGCTTTAAATGGTAAACAATGGGAGTTTTATTTATTTATTTTTTCTTGTCTTGCAATACACGAAATTTCGATTACCCTTTTCATCTTCTATCTCGTTTTCGCTATTCATATTATTTATTACTATTGTTATGTTGGAACTGCTCTGGCTTTGTTATTGGCAACAGTCTTCGATGACGCTATATATACACTGCAGACAGCCAAATACTAATCGTTAGCAATTTCGCAACTGTGTCAAAAGCTTTCAATTAAAGCTTTTCGTTTCAGCTAGATAAAGCTGCAATACACTTTTGTGCTATCAGATTGGTCTTTATATATTAGAATATTATCGATAATTTCTGTGTAAAAATATTATGAAATTAAGCAACCTTTTCCATTCTGCATCAAGGGCTTCCGCAACAATATTTTGAATATACAAATCGGGTTCGAGGCGCAAGCCACCATTACCGTTTGTTTTGAGTGGAGCTTCTATTGTATCCTCAGATATCCAGGTTTCCTCTTTTAGTCTATTTTTCACATATTTAAAAGCATCCTTTGCATTGTATGTTAGACCAGATATAATCATATGAGATCTCCATTCGTTGCCTTTTAGACAGTAAAAACGATATTGACTGGGCTTTTTATTTTTCATAATACGAGCCGCACCAAAGCTATTCACCGAATTTGCTATATCAATAACCTTGAGGGGAGTTTTAATACCCGTTGTTAGTACACACAAACGTTTTCTGACAACATCATGAAATGAGTTCTTGTTTTCTTCTGATTTATCTGTAATTAGGTCTTCGTCATCTCCTATGGACAATACTTTGGTCTCGGACTTAATTGCGGCTACAACTGCAAATAAAACAATTTAGATGTGATGAATTTGTTATACATATTTCCGTTGATCATCGAAATTTTTAAGCAGATGCATTGATAGAGAATTACTTTATTTTACTTTCAAATTACCTGACGTCTCTTCAATTTGCGTATTACCGTTTTCCATTTCTGTTTTTATAGACATCAGCAAACCCAAAACAGCTGACTGACTGAAGCGTGAAAACTAACTTTGTGACTGGCAGAAAGCTTTTGGGTTAACTTGAACTTGAACTTAAAAAGCAGAGATCATGATATATAAAAAGCTCGCCAAAAGCTTTCCTAATTGTTGACATCGAACAGCTGTTCACCTGAACGTTTGTGGATAACCAAAATAAATAAACAAATAACAAAACAGCCCTCAGCTATGATACAAACTAAATATTTGATATATTTTTATTGTAAATGAATAAATTTAATATAAAAATATATTCTACAATCAATTTCATATTAGTTATAGTTTAATAATGACTCAAATAAAAGCTCTCAGTTTTAGCCAAAATAAATACAATTAACTATGATAAAGCTTTTATGAGTCAGTGTGATTATTGACAGTCAGTAAATCATTCCATTTCTATGCTTAATTAATACATGTACACAAAATTTTATCGAGTACTTATTTATAATTTCTATGCAGATATTGCACGAACCTAAAGATTCTTGGCGATTCTCCATAAAGTGCTTCGGAAACAATTTGTTGTATATACTGATCGTAGGCGTACGGCTCACTACCAAGTTTGGCTTTGAGCGGTGTTTCAATGACATTTTTGGATATCCAATTTTCTTCTTTCAATCGATTCCTCACTACCTCCATCATGGCATTTCCATCGAAGACAGGTCCAGAAATAATCTCACCCGGTTTGTAATTGTTACCGTGCAGAACATAAAAATGATAGCGTCTGGGTTGATTACCTTCTTTAATGCTAGCTGCGCCAAATCTATCTACTTTATCCCAATCAGGGACAACGTCAATGGCTATTCGGCTCCCAGTTAAGAGCTGACAAAAATGCTTTCTTAAGTTCTCTTGCAGAATATCTGTGTTGCGGTTCTTTTCCCTCGCTGGGCTTTCGTCATCCCCAATTGATAAGACTTTTGTCTTGGACGTTAATTCGGCGACGTCTGAAAATGGATATTATAAAAATCAGATATATTTGATGGTTGTATTAAAATCGTTGTAGTACCTGACTTTTCTTTAACTTCTGTATTGTTTTCTTCCATGTTTATTCTTCACTTATTTCTCTTACAATATAAAAGCTAAAGAGACCGCACAGCTGACTGGCTAAAACGCCAAAACTAAGTTTGTGACTGGCAATAAAGCTTTCTATTATATAGCAGAAATATGTGGCAGACTAACAATTTCATAACAAATATAGGAAAGCTCTGTAAAAGCTTGTGTTGTTTTCAATTAAATTGTTTACATCTAACAGCTGTTCGTTTAAGCATTTCAGATTTGCGCGCTTTCAAGCAATGATTCTACGTACGTAAGAGAGTGATCTAAAACTAGAGAGTAAGAGTACTGTAATCGGAAGTGGTCGTTTAAAATGTATGTACGAATGTATTTATTGAATAATTTATAAAGATAATGTAAATTTACGAATATTATCATCAATGAGCTGCTTAATGCATTCGTCTATTAATTTGATAACTATTTATTATTATGATTCCTGTGTAAATATTTTACAAAGTTTACAAGCCTCTTCGATTCGGCATGGAGTGCTTCGGAGACAATTGTTTGAATGTACTGGTCGGAGCCGTAATAAAGGCTACTATCAACATTTGTTCGAAGCGGTGTTTCTATGACACTCTCGGATATCCAATTCTCCTCTCTCAGTCTATTTCTCAGGTACTTGAAAGTTTCTTTTGCATTGAATGTGGGAATTGAAATAATCGTATGAGTCTTCCAGTCACTGCCGCCTTTTTGGGCATAAAAATGATACTGTCTGGGCTTATTATTTTCCTTAATACTCTCCGCTCCAAATCGATCCATTAAATTCCAATTGATCTTTGCATCTATAGGTGTTTTAATACCCGTCAATATTGCACATAAATGTTTTCTGAAATCATCGCGAATGAAGTTCGTATTATAATTAGCATCTTTTGGTTTCTTGCAGCTCAAGAATTCATCATCATTCCCAATTGACAATACGTTGGATGTGAACGTGATTGCGGCTACGCCCGGAAAAAAATAATGTAGATAGTCAGTTAAGGCGAGCACTGAAAGTCTTTAATAAACATTTGAATTACTTGATGTTTTTTCAATTTCAGTATTATCATTTTCCATTTCTACTTTTATAGACATAAACTAACTTTGTGAGTGTATGAAAGCCTTTGAGTTACAGAACTTGACTAAAACAGAGATCGCGAAATTGAATTGCATTTCACAATGGACATGCAAAAAGCTCGCTAAAATCTGTGCCCATTGCTCATTGCGAACAGCTGTTTTACTGTTTCTCACTGTTTCTCACAGCTGATTGATTGGACTTCAAAGAGCAATATGTGTTTGGAGAAAGCTCCAAGTGCAAAACGAAATCAAATTGCAGGTAATGCTTGATTGAACTAATATTGTAATGCGAGTTTGATTGATAATATAATATTGGATAATGAAAGTAATACGAGGAGCGATCCAATACATTTGGAGCTACAAGCCTTACGATTAACGATCAAACAAGGCCTTATTACTTCATATGGATTGGGCGATTCCAATTTTCCTCAGGACTGTCAAACAGAAGCTGAGCAACGAGCATGGGATATTAGAGAACGCAATAGAAAATTTCTCTCAAATCTAGCGTAGCAACACATACAAACTTAATAGAATTGATCACCGAATTTACGAAGTGGTCTCCACTTGTCTCTTGATGCGGAATGAACGCATGTCGATGCAACACGAACAGGACTCCAAAGAGAAAATTAAATTAATTTAAGTGAGATTAGGACAGACCTACTGTTATTATTTAATATA